TGCTATAGACATTTACCCCTCTACGGCCATTTAACACACTTCTGGAGCAGATTCTCAATTAAAAACTCCATATTCCATCAGATATGCACAAAGCCCATTCGAAAACGTCTAAACGAAGTGTTTGTATATTTGAGTGATTGTGAAAGAAGCCTGTTGAAGATATTTATCATGAATCATCTCAAAGATATCAAAAGTTTAAATCGGTCCGGACAGAACCGCGAGTGCCCAGAAAGGTTAAGCGAGTTGCGGCAAGAACAAGCACCAAGCACTGCGCTGCGCACGCACCAGTCGACGATTATTGTGGCGATGCCAGTAGCGGATTTATTGCAGCCACAAACTTGAATTTCGCGTTGACTGTCGTTGTGGTTGCTTCTACTGTTGGATTTTGTCATTTGTGGTTGCAGCGGTTAGTCTTTTGGAAGTGACTTCGCTTGTGAATGTATGTATGTACATATATGCGTGTGGTTGCTTGTGTGCGTAGAAGCACTTTGCGATTTCTGTTCTCAGCCTGCAGAGGCAATCACTCATTCATTCATTTATTTTGAGATCCATAGCCCATGGGTATTGTGGCGCAACTCCAGCACTTGTTGTCGTTGTTCATGTCATTTGTTGTGTGTTGCTTCTTCGTTGTGACGTATTTGCTGTTTACTATTGTGGTTGCTGTTATTGCCTCAGTTTGTGTTGCTCTTGCTGTTGTACATTTAATGGACTTTAATTGAATTGCATTTGCATTATGCGGTTGTGTTGCATTGCAATAAACGGCGTTTGCCCTCTGTCTGGTGGTTGGTGGCTTGCGGTTGTCAAGTAGCAGTGGTTCTGTAGAGCTTGCAACGTAAAAATTGCAGTGGAGTGGCAGTGGTGTCGCACTAATGTGTGTGGTTTCTGTAGATTTTGCGACAGGTATGGGCTTGAAGCGTTAAAATTCTACAAAATAAGGATTTCGCAAAGATATCGGTAGAAACTTAAGAAAAGATATCTGAACGAAACTTATATTACATAGAAAGTTCATATGGCCATTAAAAGTCATAAAGCTTATGAAATTCTAGAGAAAGAAGATTTAGTTTCCCAAAAAATTTGGTTAGGATAAGCTATGGTGGTTCAGAGACAAACTTGGATATTAAAGAGGCTGTATTTTGTAATGCTACGTGAATTTTGAAAGATATAAGTACACTACTCTATTAATGGAAAGCCGCAAGCCAATCCCAAGTACGGAGGCGGATTATCTGAATCCTCGAGTTTCCTTAAATTTCAGTTAAGAAGTGCGAGACAAAACAATTTAATATCTGCAAAATTTAGTCATCCAAGTAGAAAGGGTTGAATTTATTCCATTTTATCATTGAAAAAAAAAAGAATGCGGCAAATTCTCCATTTAGTCATGTGGATTGCTATCGGGTGACCTGTTGGAAGCGCCCATCCAAAGTAAGAGTTGCAGCTCCTTTCGCCGTCTTAAATCTCCTTTTGACTGGGAAGACTTTGCGCCTACTCAAGCCATTGCTTTGCTCCAATGATCTCTCAGTTAACAGAAGCCAAAGAGTAAACTACAAGTAGCCAGTGTTGTTCCTTCCCTTTAATATCGGTCAAGTAGTCCCAGAACAATTTTTATAGTATCATAGGGCCTTAATTACAATTTGGTTGTCAGAGTATTTAGATACTTACCTACTTACTTACTAAATGCTTAAATGCTGGTTAATCTGTCTGTACAGGCCCTAAGTGGAAGCGGTAATATACCTATCTTAGAAAATGCATTATCTTCATGTTTGAATAAAGTACGAGTTTCAATTGCGAAATTGTATTTAAATGAAAGTTAAAAAAAAAAATATATGTACTAAATAAAGTAAAAATACCCAGTCATGCTCATATATCTAGCTGCGTATATAACGTATACGATCCATAGCACCATACGCACTCATCTAACACGTTTACTCGCATGCCTCAACTTAAAAGTCATAGGCGCGTATTCATAGTCCAGCAACTAAGTCGAAACTAACAAAGCTGCAACTTAAATTTAAGTACCAACTTAAAATTTACCTCTATTCATAGTGGCATTTCAGACTTCTTCTAAAGTAGTTTCGACTTAGTTTACGATATAGCAAAACGAGCGTGAAAATGTATCGATTTTTCTTTACGATATTTTGGAAAAATTACATTTTTATTAAATAATATCAAGTTTGATCATCCGTTTATGTAATTTTTATTTTCATTGCATGATTATGCAAAAGAATAAGGTATCATTTTCTTGTTAATTGTGTGAAATAGCCAGAACAACCGCAGTCATGTGAAGTCGATGATTATCGAAAGCATGCTGTGAAACATGCAAATAGTAAATATCTAAATTTTATGCACAAATTTACTTTAAAAGATCTAGCGTGAAACTGACTTATTATTTGAAAATGTATCTAAATTATTCCAATTATAAAATTGTGATGTAGCTTTATTCGAATTGTAATACGCATTTAATTACATCTTCCGATTAAAATGGATCGATCTTTGTAAATTTTAATTGGAGATTATTCAACATTATCAAAATCACCCTCTACCAACTTAATTTTTACATATTTCGTCTGTTTTCCCTTAATTTGATAAAATACTTCTTCCTAGTTACGACTTAGTTGCAGCTGCAGCCGAAACTAAATTTTAAATTGGTACTTAGCCAGAAAAGTCGAAACTAAGGCGACTATGAATAGCTTTAGTTATGACTTAGAATAGTTTCGACTTAGTTGAGTACTAAATATGACTATGAATATGCGCCATATTATTTAAAAGTAATTAAATGTTGGCGTGGAAGATTTTTACACAGGCTGCATTTCTTTATTCATTCTGAATGTTTGGAATCAACTTTTTTGTTTACTTGTTCTTTAGAACGTTCCTGATGATATCGAGCCCTAACCGCCAAAATAACGTAAGCGACATTTTTTTCAAAATTTTATTTTTGATGCAGAAATATTCCTATAGCATCTAGATGCATTTCTGCATCAAAAATAAAATTTCTAAAGAAATGTCGCTTACGTTATTTTGGCGGTTAGGGCTCGATATGTTAACGTATATTTCAAACGCATTCTGTTTATTCCGGCTGTGAAATTTGATTATCCGGAATGTATAAAGAAAGAAAGCCACAGTATTCATTATGAACAAACTTGCCAAGTTTTTTAATTTTAATTTTGAAGCATAATCTTTTGTTTTCATTTTGTGGCACACTAGTCTTATTTTACCATTTTAAAGTATCTAAAAAAAAAAATTGTAAATCGTAATCGAAAATTACAAAATAGTTACGACAGATATAATGCACGCTGCCATTTTGTTTAATTTCATTGTAAATTCCTAAAACTTCACAGATATGCAAACCTCCATTGCCTCTAATATGAACATTCTATTTGAAAACATCGCAAAGTTATTAAAAAAACAATATTGAAGTTTTTCGAGTGATAAAGAAAAAATTAGTAATTTCGGTAATTTTCGCCTAAATAAAGGTTTTAAGGCAAAAATTGTTCAAATACTTGAATAACTTTTTATTGTATATATATGTTTCAGGAGTTCCATTGATTGTAATAAATGCAAGAATAATGCTTTAACGTTTTTTTCTGCCCAGAGAAGGGAGTGACACTAAAAATAACAATTCCTGAGATTTGATGTACGGCAACTTCATAGAACTTTGCAGCTTTTCCGTAGCTGCATACTGGTATTCAGTAAGAAGTCTCTGGTCACTAATAGAAACATTTTGTGGTACGCATCGATTTTAAGACTATTTGGTATTCCGTAAGCTATCTCACGTCTCTAGCCTTAGAAACAGTAACTATTTCGTCAGCGGGCCCTGAGGAGGTAACAAAAAGAATGATATGGTGGAAAAGATAATTGCTTTCTATTTTCTAAAATATGCGAGAAGAGAGCAAGGGAATATTTGTTCAGCAACAATTTCATTGGAAAAAGATACTTTTCTTTTTTAAACAATGAAATATAAAAACTAAAAGAAAATTTAATTTAAAGGTGTTTTGCCTGTCCGAGGATTCGAACCTCGGATCTCTCGATTGCGACGCTAGTGCTTTTCTTTTTTTAAGCAATCCTTACTAATATTATAAATGCGAAAGTGAGTTTGTTTGTTTGTTACGCTTTCACGCTTTAACTACTCAACCGGTCATCATGAAATTTTGCACACTAGTGTCATTTAGCCCAGCTAAAAATATAGGATGGACAACATAGTTACATTCCACTTTTTAAAAAGCCCTACCTGTTTTTCATACTCTTTTTAAAATGTTTTTTACTGCTCCTGTAAGATAAAAACTTTTGGTTAGGGCCTTTGTGAATTAACGTAACGATATATATATTAGATAAGTCCATACTTATAGCGGAGGGCTGCCACCTGTTTAAAAAATAAAATCAACTTCAATTAAGGGCATTTGGCAATTGAAATAGTACATATAAAATCTACCACAATATGGGTGTCAGACAAAAGAAGTTTAAGAAAGTTGCCACCTGTGCAAAAAGTTGGAGGTTATATTGAAGTTGTCAGAAGTTACCATTTTTTATTAGAAAGCGATCCCGTGCTTTTCAGTGTTACTCTCTCGCTCTAAGCGAATATTTATTTTTTGACAGTTTTACTTTTTTTGGTGAACTTTTTGTGACTTTCTCTTACAGAATACCTAAATTGTTTCAAATAACAAAAATAGTCACTAATTTATAGTCTCAAAATTAGTAACTAGAGATGAGACCGACTTATTGAGTGAGTTTTGAAGTAGTAGTCGTCAATGCGAACGTTACTCGGGCAGTGCTATTTTATTAACATGTATGCATGTATATTTTGCAAATTGCTTCAATTATATAACTTTTATTCGAATACAAATACATATGTATGTGCCTAAAAATATATGTACATACGTATAAATTCATAAGTGCACAATCGCGCACAAGTACTCTCCATTGAGCAATCATTCATTTTTTCGGCTGCTTTAAATATCAAACGCATAGAAGAATAAAACAGAGATTTGTTTCTTTTTAATTCGATTTAGTAACGAAAAGATGAATGTACTACATACTATTTACATACATTCATACAAAAAAGATATATACCAAATAGTAGTACAAATGAACGAGTGCATGTGCGACGAGCAGCTAAACGAATGGATTTGTAATCAGCTGTGGCAGCGAGAACATAATAAATACAATCAGTAACATGATAAAACCCACAGCAACAATAACAACAACGACGAGTAAACACAAAGTGGCAGCTGTGACAACGACGACTACAACGAATAAATGTTTAAATAAAATAAAAAGCAGCAACGCTAAATGCGAATGCAATTCATGCTAAATAGGCGAAGGCATTGTAACTCATAGAACAACAATAATAATAATAAGTATTCAAGAAATAATATGATATAGGAAAAAGACACACACACATACATACACATGTACATAAGTTAAACATAATTAAATAAAAAATTGCGCATGCATAAAGCGCACATGCACAATAACAGCAAAAACAACGACAACATAAATTTCATTAGTGATAATTGTTCATATATGTATGTATGTATTTGCACCTAAGTTATAGAGCAATAAATTTTCGTGATAACAGTGATCGCATGAAAAAAAAACAAACAAAAAATGTTCAAAGACGAAAGAGTGAATTTGGAAATACATATATTGAAACTATGAGTGAAAGTGAAACGAAAATAGCGAATGAAAAATTTGCCTAATCTTTTGCATATTGAATAGTTGTACAACGATACATTTAATCAGCAAAGAGACGATCTTATAGCACACTACATACATAGTATTTTCTACCCGTTGGAGCGTGCTGAGCGTGAATTCCAGAACTTCAACAAGAATGTACAGAATGTTTACTAAGCACTTCCGCCGGAAAATGAGGCACAGCGACACAGTGACCGCACTCATCATATACATTTTATTAGCGCTTATACAAAAGGTTAGTATAGAAAATTAAATACACATACTTTGTAGCTTTAATATATGTACACACATTATAGTAGATACGAATAACTATTTTAAGCATAATAGGATAACCAATACACCAGATACGCGTTCAGCACACGCTAAACTATAGAGGGCACGTACAGAAGTAAAGCAGGAGCTGCTGGCAGCCAGCAACGAATTCAAAACCTTCCAAAACTCCAGAGTTTCCATCTTTCGAGCTAGTTAATCACCCGGTTTCCCTGAACCTAACAGAAGTTCGTACTTCGACAATTCTGCCTGTAATATCCAAGAGTGCAATGTTCAATATGACATTAACCGCCAGTATAGGTGTGGTCCTTAATGCTCCACTAAAGCCGATTAGGGCAATACGTTGTATACGCTCCGATTGCTTTACAAGTGTACCCTTCTCTAGTGAGTTCAACCAGACAAAATCTCCATAAAACAAGGTAGGCTAAACTGTGGTATCATAGAACAAATTAATTACGTTGGGCGAGAGACCCGACCTCTTACCTGTAGCTCCCCTACAGCAGTACAAGGCAACCGACGCCTGTTTTGCAATTTCCTCAATGTTAGGCTTCCACTACAGCTTCCTATCCAGGATCAAGCCTGGATACTTGACCCTGCCTGAGAGCTGCAAAACAGATACCTCCGATTTAACCAAGAGTGACACATTATCTACATAGGCGATCAGCCGACAGCCCATTTTTCCAATTCACATTTAAGGTCGTTTACTAAAGCAATAAAGAGCAAGGGAGAGAGAACACCACCTTGGTCGCTATTGACTCTACGCTTAGCGCAGGCACTCCGGCACTCCGCCACGTCAGTTCTGTCACGCAATAAGCTGCAGATAAGCCTTGTTAGGTTGATTTCAACCCGCAGCTTATGAATAGATTTGACTGAAAGCGCCCTCGATATCAAGGAAGGCCTCTACTGTATAATTTTCTGAGTGCAGACACTTCCACTTTCTAATGTGTGCAAGCCGGTATCCACCGACCTTCTCTTGCAATAAGCATGTTTTACTGTCGAAAGACAGTCGAGCAATCTCGACCACAACTAAGGTAGACTGATAGGCCTTAAATCCCTAGGGGAACATGAGAACCCTCTCCGGCTTTCTGGATGAATGGAACCCCGACCACCCTCTGAGCTTTGGGGAGCCATCCAATTGCACGATACACGATTGGAGAGAGAGGTGGAATCCTCGCCATTGCCTCAATAGAAATTTCTCCTGGGGAAGAAATTTTTCAAGGAGAAGCTTTAACGGCTCCTCGCTGCTCATTCTCCTATTTTGTGCTTCGTCGCCCTGGTACCCCAAGGGAACCTGATTCCTTGCAATTTACAATTTGGTTGTTGCAAAATGCTGCTCCTTTTAACTTTGCATTTAACTAATATAATTTGGAAACACTTTTAAAAAATATCCACTATAAAAATAGTTTGTATAACCTTTTTGTTCTTTCGCAAAAAAAAACGGCATTCAAACTTTTTCAATATTACCGCAAACTAAAATGTGGCCCAATGACCCCTCGGTCGTGAAGGGTTAAGGAATTCCTTTATTGCAAAAATGTATATTTAATCGCTATTAATATTTCTGAACTTCTGCGCTTTTCTCGATTAGCCACAAAAAAAATCTAAAAAAATTCAACAAAAAAAAAATTCTTTTTAAATTTACTTTTTATTTCTTTTTTATTTTATTCCTTAAAAGGAAACATATATTTTTAATTTTATTTTATTTGCGTTGTTTTATTTAATCTTCTTTTAACTTTTAGTTTTTATTTTTTCAAAACATGTACATATACACATTTTTTAATTTCATTGATTTTTAGAAATCTTATTGCTAAAAGAAAAACGAAATAACTCTAAGAATTGCTCATAAGCAGATCTTTCAATTAGTCTTTCAAACGAGAGTACAGAGTTTTCAAGACAGTTGCCAGAGCTGACTTTTGTCTTTCGAAAGACTGTAGTGAGTTGAAAGACAGTTGCTAAAACTGTCCTGTTTAATTCATTCGAAAGATAATTATAAGATAGTAGGCAAGATACTCTGAAAGACTTTGTTATGCCTGCACAAAGTTTTTTCAAAAAAAAAAGCGTACCTTTTTTGACAGAATATTTTGTTAAAAAATTAAAAATATAATTTGGAATTTACAAATGCAGGAAATGCAGGCTGCGTTTCTTTATACATTCCGGATAATCCCATTTCACATTAAACAGAATGCGTTTGAAATATACGTTAACATATCATCAGGAACGTTCTAAAGAATAAGTAAACAAAAAAGTTTATTCCAAACGTTCAGAATGAATAAAGAAATTCAGCCGCAATGTTACGTACATATAATTTTCTTAATGAAGTTAACAAGAAAATATGTATATCTTTCCCTTGCGGAGTCTTGTTTGGCGAGTCCTTAAGGCAACTCCTGGGTCTAGATTTACTGATTTAAATTTTCGCCCCAAAATTTCATTTAGTACACATATGGTTTTTGAGAGTTTGAAATTACGACAATATCTAAAACGTAGACAGTGACAGTTTTTAAAATCAGCTGCGACTGCTAATATTGGCAGTCACTGCCGCAGCAAATACAATACGGCGTTGTCAGTCACTACTTTTTTCTAAACATTCCTTTTTGTTTGTTTACATTTTTGTTGTTGCCTTTTAGGCTTCAGTGACATAAACAGAAGTTGGCTGCATTTTATTTATGTCAAATTCAACATGCGAATCGTGCTGCGATGAAGGCAGTGGCAGTGAATTTAGAATTTGGGGTAAACTGAGCAGTACTGCCAGCTAGAGCTGGAAAACCATCGATGGCCCTATCGATGGTTTTTGACTATCGAAAACATCGATGGTTTTGTAAGCACTATCGATAGTTTTTACTCATACATACATAACGGCCCGTCTCCGCAGGCAAGAGTTTTTGCCTACCAACTGTCATTTTTTATTGCCTGACATAAATTTTTTCAGATGCAATATTTGTGTGTGGGCATTTTTTATTTTGATAAAAGCATTTGTAAGATGGCTACTTTTGCCGGATTTAATCACATAAAAATTTAAAAAATTTGCTATTTCACACCCAAGTACATAATAACCAATACTTTTATAGAAAACCGCTAAATTTTTGCTTTTATATTAAAATATCAATAATGTTGCCGCCACGAAGTTATCGCGCATATGAAAATGTAGCTGTCAAAGTGCCAAATTGCTGGAAATATTTATCAAGATAAAAGCTCTGATAATTATTGCTTGCCAAGAGCAATATGCGGTCTCCATTGGCAACATTTTCCCTGATAACACTATCAAAATAAAAACTTTTGCCTGCGGAGACAGCAAGTAAAGATGCTGCTGGAATCCAAAAATCGTTGATAAATTCTTGTTCATTAATAAAAATATGGACATATTTTAACAATTCTGATCTCTTTTTCAATAAAAGTTGTTATGTTTAATTTTTGGACTTTTTTAATTAAAACTATCGATAGTGCCGACATTTTCGATAGTATCGATACTATCGATGGGTGTGACTATCGACTATCGAAACTATTGATGGTCACGACTATCGATAGTTTTCTAGCTCTACTGCCAGCTGCCACTGCAGTACTGTGAGTCACTTCATTGGACACCACACTTTCTAAAACAACAGCTGATTTCGGAAAACTGCCACTGCCACTGCCACCGCATTATTGTGTTTTGGGCTTTAGGACAAACCTTAGGGCTTAGGGCATATCCGCTTTATGAAATGAAAGTTTTTATGGCTGAGCAACATTATATAAAAGCATTGAAAGCTTACCACTAAATTGGGATGCGGAGTTGTCGACACAGTGGTCCACTTTGATTTTATCAATTTTATGTATGCATGTGAATACACGAATTAGTATGTATGCTTTATCGTAATTGTTTTGAATAGTTTGTTTTTATATTCAAACAATATTAAATATGTATGTGTCAATATACGAGTAGATACATATTTCCTCAATAGTGGTACTAAAGCTCTCAATTGCTAATCTCTATTAAATAAATAATATACTGTTATAGCTTAGACAGGCGACAACGTTAATCCGGATTAACGAAGCAGTTGATACTATACCCTGATAGATGAGAGTATTGCGGATTAAGCGAGCTGCGAAATTGTTAGTTCGAATCCTATCGCCAGCAAGTTTTTTGTTTTTTTTCCTTGGATTTATGTTTTTATTTTGTTTTAATATACCGACGACAGAGTGAAGGATTGACCTACATGCATATCTCGCAGCCGATTCAAAAACGCCCTATCTCAGAAAATGGCGCAGGAACGCCCTACTTCAGAATTTGGTTGAAGAACACCTTATCTCAGAATTTGTTTCAAACACGCCCTATATCAACTGAAACTATATTGAAAATATGTTGATATAAGGCGTTCTTGAAGCGGAGTTGAAGGCGTTTTTGAGTTTTTGTTTGTGTGGACTTTTTTTAATAAAACATTTAACTCGGAAAAATTTAATTAGTTTGAAATAAAATTAAACAAAGCTGAATAAGGTAAATTAAATGATATAAAATAAATGATATTAAAAAAAAAGTCTAAAATTATAATTAAAAAATAAAATTTTCGGAAATTAGTCGGAATGGGAGTCGAACCTGGACGAATTATAAAATGTAGTTCTCATCACTCGGCTGTCGAGGATGCCAAACCCATTTGCTTTGTTTGCTTCGTTTATTTTTCATTCACAATAGATAACAAGTTGCAGTTTTTATCAGTGTAGTCATCGAAAATATCCCGAATCCTCATTAATTTTGAGAATCAACTCCTAGATTTAATGCGGATCTACTGCAGCTAATTGCCGGTACAATTCCAAATTGACGAGTTGATCCATGATTTTACCCTCATGATGCCCTCAGATTTGGAGAAGTGTGTATTCTTAATATAAAAAATTTATTTAGTATGCACTGAATACACTCAACGATGATTAACTACTTTTGGTTATATACATACATACAAGCATTTGCGATTTCGCGAAAAGTATTACTAACATTGAACG